CCAACAGGCAGACAAGGCAAAACCAAATGCCTTGGATCCCAGGAGCAATGGCCATTCCTGAAGATGCAACCTTGTACATTTATGGTAGGAAGCAAGGGTTGAAAAAAGCAGTCTGAGACTGTAGAACAAGAGGTTGTCCCTCAGAAACCACCAGAGGCAGGGGAAGTTGTAATAGAACTGTTCAGTCAGACCCTAAACACAGGCATTTTTATCTTCAGCTACAACTGAAGTTGCTGCTCTTTCCAGAAGAGTTGCTGAAAACTCCTAGAGAAATGTGGGAACTCACTAGAAGATGAGAAAACTCACACACTGCTTCTCTTCTTTCTTTCTTTGTCACTGATGCCTTTATGCTTCGTGAACATAGCTGTCTACAATGAAATTACTCATGCATCTGTAGATAGCTTTGTAGGTGACATCTTTCTGATTAAACTTCTTTGAACAATAATGACCAAAGAATGTGATATTTCCCCAAGTTTCTGTTCTTCACAAAGAGAAAAATTTGTTGGTCACATTTTTTTCCTTTCCAACAAATGAATAGGCTAAACTTGCCACATCAACAGTAACGATGGCAAAGACAATTCTTTAGGTCAGGCAGCAGCATCCCTCATATGGTCAAGGAAAATAACCTCATCTGCCTAGTCTTTATGGTTGTTAGGTTTTCTTTTTTGAGATGGTCCTTCCTAAGAAGTATATTTGTACCACTTCTTCTTTCTTGGCTGGAAGCCTGAGTAAGTTTTTTTTTTTACAGAGCAGAGCCAGCTCTTCTGGCATGTTTTACAAAGGCACATATTTTAGCTTATCTCAAAGTTCTGAAAGGATTTTTGTTGATCTGAGGGATGAATCAGTCAGAGGTGGCAAAGAGTGCCTTCATGCCTTATTGTAAACGATCTATGAACTACAGGTTTTCATGACATGTTAAAAATTCATATGAATATTAGATTTAAAATTTAAATATCTGACCTAGCTGAAGCACTTCTTCAGGCTTGTAATCAGACAGGTATATAGCAGTATACACAGCAAGGGAGACTTGGAACTGGTGTCCAGATCATCAGATGATTTATGTAGCCAACTCTCATTGACAAAAAGTCGAAATTTGGTCCTTGGATAAACACTTTGTTCCCTTCCTGACAGAATATGTTAGTAGTGTATGTTAACTCTCAAACAGCCTGATTTTTCTTAAATTAAGCTAAATTTCTTTATGCAGGTTTGGACTGATAGCCAGTAACAACTTAATCAACTAGGAAGCACTACTGAATGTGAGTAGTGATAGTAAAATATGATCCTGCATTTACTCTTTGCTATCTTTCTGGTTTTAGAAGTATAAAACAGTAGTCCTGCCCTTAATCATCACTTCTAGTCAAATCACATCATTTTGTTGGGGCTATATACCTCTTACTTGGCCATACTAATCTAAACATTAAGTATGTGCTCCAATTTAGTTTGTTGAATTAGCCTTTTAGCAGACAATATGAGGCACTCCAGGAAGACAAGTCATCCCACCTTTTTAAGAGTGAGACAAACTGCCTTGTGGAGCTGTCTGTCTGTCTTTTTCTCTGCTATCCATATGGGAGTCTGGACTGTTAGCTCTGCAGAGAGACCTGGACAGGTTGGAGCCATGGGCTGAGGCCAACTGGAGGAGTTTCCATAAGGCCAAATGCCGGGGGCTGCCCTTGGGCCACAACAACCCCCAGCAGCGCTACAGGCTTGGGGAGGAGTGGCTGGGGAGCTGCCAGTCAGAGAGGGACCTGGGGGTGCTGATTGACAGCCGGCTGAACAGGAGCCAGCAGTGTGCCCAGGGGGCCAAGAAGGCCAATGGCATCCTGGCTTGTGTCAGCAATAGCGTGGCCAGCAGGGACAGGGAAGGGATCTGACCCCTGTACTCGGCACTGGTGAGGCCGCCCCTCGATTCCTGTGTTCAGTTTTGGGCCCCTCACTACAAAAAGGACATTGAATGACTCGAGCGTGTCCAGAGAAGGGCAACGGAGCTGGTGCAGGGTCTGGAGCACAGGTCGTACGGGGAGCGGCTGAGGGAACTGGGGATGTTTAGTCTGGAGAAGAGGAGGCTGAGGGGAGACCTCATCGCCCTCTACAGCTGCCTGAAAGGAGGTTGCAGAGAGCTGGGGATGAGTCTCTTTAACCAAGTAACAAGTGATAGGACAAGAGGGAATGGCCTCAAATTGCACCAGGGAAGGTTTAGACTGGATATTAGGAAGCATTTCTTTACAGAATGCGTTGTTAGGGGTTGGAATGGGCTGCCCAGGGAGGTGGTGGAGTCCCCATCCCTGGAGGTGTTCAAGAGTCGGGTTGACATAGCGCTGAGGGATCTGGTGTAGTTGGGAACTGTCAGTGTTAGGTTAATGGCTGGACTAGATGAACTTCAAGGTCTTTTCCAACCTAGATGATTCTGTGATTCTGTGAAAGAGATAACCATTGCTGAAATACCATTTTCTCTGCAAAGCCCTGAAAAACCTCAGAAGTAAAGCAGAAATAAAAAGAAACTTCTGGGGCTTGGAGGTGTAACATAGGAACCTACTTCTTTTCCCCTGTCTCCAGTCACCTCAGAAATATGTGCTGCCTTCATTGGGACCAGTCAGTCATTTATGACCTGGGCCGGTACATAGCAGATTGTACAACTTGCATCCACCTTAGGGGGATCCTTTGACAACTGCGTGTCCTGAATCCACACCAGCACAAGTTCTGGAAAGGTTTGTTCACATGATCTTTCTCCATGAGAGAATCACTTTCTTACAAGACTCCTGAATAAGCTCATCTATGCTCATCGATGCTCATGGAAAGGTTTTAGAGGATTTAGGGTATGCTTAAAAGATGCGACACACCATACCTTCCTGCCACAGTGCTGAATTCAGCTGCTGTGTGCTAGGGTAGTCCGCCTTTTGGGCTGGGATGTCCACTAAACTCATCTCCAGCCTCAGATATGAGATTTTGATGCAAGGACAGAGCTAAATAGACAAGGCAGAATCATGGGACTGCTGACTGACGCTATACCCTTCATACTACTCACATGCTTGAAAAATGATTCTGATGCTTAGATGATGAGTGCAGGTTGAGAGTGTTTAGAACAGAAGAATACAGTGAAATGAACAAGTGAGACATATACAATGCAAAAACATTTCATTTGTAACAATACCAAACATAAACTAGGCAAAATATCATGATTCTTGGAGAGGAGCACTGAAAATTTCTAATGAATATTTGTTTCTATTACAATATGGTCTACGTATACATATGGTATAAAGCGAACTGTGAAGTAATACAAGTGAACTACTAATGCTGAAGTAAAGATGTCTAAAATTGTATTAAACCCCAACAAATTGCATGCTTCCACAACAATGTAAAGTTATCTGTATGTAGTACACTGACGACAGCAAGTCAAATTTCTAGTTGGGCTGCCTGTAAGCCTTTATTAAAGCAATGTAAGAATCTCAATGGGTACCACATTAGTAGCATGTGCAAATTTGGGGACAGAGTCTGGTCTTGTGATTCTTACTGTGAATCAGCCAAAAAGAACACAATTTTTGGAAAGATTAGGACTCATAAATCCAACCATCTCTCTATTTTGCCACCTGATCTGCTCTCTGAACTCCAGCTGAATAGGTCTGAGTAGATCTCATATTGACTAAAGGGATCTTAGATATTCACTCAAGTAGAGATACTGGGGTTCAGTTCAGTGGTTGAAGTATAGACTTCAGTGCCATTTGTGATGACGTAGGCGATCCTGTTAGGCTTCAGAAGGGTCTTATACAGTTCCTGCATTGTATTTCCCAGTCTTATGGGGATATTTCAGGTGCACAGACCTCTCTCTGTAGCCACCTAACCTGAGATTTCTTCTTCTGTGAGGAAATACTTGTAACTCAGGTTATATAACTAAACATATCTTCAAACAGATGGCTCAGCAGCATTCATTTGTCTGATTTAGGGGGAATTGTGTATGTTGTCAAGTCTAAGTGCAGGGATGTGCGTCTACATCTAGCTTTAAAAATCTGCATTGTGAATGCAGAACTAGTGCACAGCTATGTGACAAGTGTGATTGGTAGTGGCTAAACTAGTAGAAGCAAAACAACTTACTGTGTAAGCATATGCAGAGAAGATAAAGACTGCATTACAGTATGAAGGTAGTTACGAGATAGCTGTAAGGATCGTGAATAATACATGATCATAATGCTATACAAGCAGAAACGTTTTCTGTCTGTAGAAAACAGGAGAGTGGGAACGTTCTTCTCAAGACGCTGTTCTTTTAGGCACATAGCAATAGCTTTAATCCACCTCCATTTCCTCCTCCTGGTTTTCAACTAACTCATTGCTTTCCATGAGTGAGCAGCTTTCAGAGCTTGTATCTTGCCTCAGTGGCATCTGTTGGACCTGGAAAGAAAAACCTGTCTTATGTAGCTTTTGTTTGTGAGGGGTGGGCATGCCTGAGCTGAAGCCATATCAGAGAAGCCACTGCCCATGATAGCAGGGCATAGGATTCTTTTCAGGTAAACAGGACCAAGGTGTACATCTATACTGTCAAGGTTTAAAAAAAAAGAGGGGTTTGGGCTCAGCCACTGTCCTCCAATGGTCCAAACTCTTTAGCTATTAGCATGTTTCCTGCAATATTTTAGTAAATGACACAGGATTTTACCAGATAATTCCTGAGCTTGGCTCTTAAGACAGCACAGGTTTGGGGATTTTTCCTGAAAGGCAGTTCCCTGCTCCCTGTCCCATGTAATAGCACTCAGCATCTTGGCCAGGGAGTAGAGGTGCCATGGCCTGTTTGATTAATTCGTTTGAATGAATTGTAGCATATCTCAGCCCTCTAACTTCTGTCCCTCTCTGATACAGATCAGATATTTCCCTTCAGATCTTTGTTGCAGTTCCTGTCAAAACATGAAGATGCTACCCTAAAGTCTTCTAGTGCTCAAGAACATTTTACACATCCTTTTGCTTTAAGATTTTTGGGGGGCTATGTTTTAACCACATCTTTCTAGTGCTCATGTCAGGTGCTTTTCCTGCCAGGGGTCACTCTCTGAAGGCCTAAAAGCTCCGAATGACATCAACAGAGAAACATGTTAACTTCTCCTCCCCACCAGTGACCTTGAGTATAACAACAGTTTTCTTCCAAATGAGAAATCTGAAAGTCCTCAGAAAGTGGGTAAGTCTAAAATGGTTGACCCTTTCAAAGTCTTTTAAAGTTCTGTTATTCATTTTGAGTGGTCTTACCGGTAGATCTCACTTCAGAGACACAAGTGAACCTATAGCTTTAGTAAACTAAAGAAAGTGCATTTTCAAGATGAGAAGTGAAATTCAGAAAGACAATTTGTTCTAAAAAGAGAAAAAAGGGTTGTCAACAAGTGGAGACCACTGGTAAAGACTCAGATGGAAATTACAGGCAACTCCCTTCAAACTCCATTTAACCCCTTTCCCAGTAATAAAACCACCACCTGAGAAAGCGGTAGCCAGCAGGATCGCAACTCAGTACTTGCTGCCCTTGCGACTGCAGTGAACACCCCTGTTCAGCATGGTGCTTCTTGGGAGGGATGGCTGTAAGGGGACTATTGCCTGCATTGAAAAAGAGAAATATCTGGGTGAGGCCGTGTTCCTTTCTGCCTAGAATACAAATAGCAGTTCAGCAGCTTGTCAGGGTTTTCCCCAAGATTTTTCTCCTTCCTGGACTGCATATCAAAAAGTTTCAGGTATGGAAAGAGAGTAAGATTCCCAGGACCTAATAATTGACTTAATTCCTATCCAGAGCACAGCCTAGTGGTTCTTTCATACACCTGCACACCTGCAATTTTGTGGGCTGGGGAGGAGGCACAAGGCAGGAGGGACAGGGATTTAGGAGAGAAGGTTTTGGGTAGAACATGATATACAGTCTGTTCTTCTACTTCCCAAAGCCAAATTTTTAAGGCTTTCTGATCTCTTAATCAGACATCTATCACAGCATTGGCTGGAGACCCTCTTTTGTGAACAACGTTGTAAACATGCAGTTAGAGATGGCCTTTGAGAAGGATCTTTTAGGTGTGCTCTCTGGAACATCACATCATTGCTCTTCAACACTCACTTCCATTTCCACTTGCATTGCTGGATCTGAGTTTCTTCTTGCTCATAGGAGGATGCAGAAAGGTAGATTCTGGAGTTAAGTGGTCCAGGGAGAAGGTGATATACATGGATAGAGATTTGCCTATCCCATCCCCCTGTTGGGGGACCCATAACATTGAGGAGATTTTCCCGGATCTTGAGAAGCTCTTGTTTAATTTTTGGTGAATTGTTATGGGAGTGAGAAAAAGTCACATTTTTGACTGTCTCTTGTTCCAGACTGAGAGGACTCTGCAGCTCTTCAACACATGCTCTTTGCTTAGATTTATTTTTAGTAGGGTTCTCTTCATTTTTTTGTTTTGTTTTGTTTTGTTTTTTTCAAAATATCTTTTCATGAAACTAAATTAAATGTGCAAAGAAGGGAGAGAAAATCAGAAATGAAGCATAAGACATTTCACTCTTGTTACTTTAACTTAAAAATGGGCATAGGTAAAGAAACAGAAAAAGGTCCTGAAATATAATGGGTCTCTGTGTCATCTCTAAGAACTGCTTCCAAAAGGCTCCCTTCCATCAATCCCTTTTTAAATACAAAGGAGCAGAAGAAGCACTTTCAGTGTTTCACTTCATTGAGTATGCAGGAGGAATACTGTGGGAATAAGCTTAGAAATATTAAGAACTCAAATTCAGACTCCTTGATGTTAACAACTTTCCTTGCCAAGACAGACCTTTTTTCTCTGCTCAGGATGGAAATCTGAGCTATACACATGTGTAGCTAACAGGAGACTCTTTTCCTATCTCTGATGCAATTTGGACATGAGGGTCCAACTGGAGTGTGTTGCATATGTTTTCTGCTCCTTGGTGATCAGAAGAAATTAAATTAGACTAACCTCCTTGCCACAACTATCCCTTGAAATGTATTGATGGATGAGAAAATGGGAGGTGGTCGAGACAAGCAGTTTGGTCCTGACAGGTGTGGGTATGTAATGGATCTTGGTCTTCTGTGAATATGAGGAGACTGTGGAATGCTGTCTTTTGATACTGTCCACTGTGTAGCTGCATGTGACTACTGCCAGCATGACACATAGGCACTGCCTTTTAGTGGTGTGTGATCCATTGCATGGAGGGACTGATGGGATGCTCGCTGCTTATATTTCTTTCTGTCCTGTATACCAGATACTGGTTTTAAGCAACATTCAAAACCATTTGTTGATGGCTCTATTTTTACAGTGTTTTGGTCTTGCTTAATACACTAAAATCACGTGAAAACTGAGCCACATACAGCTGTTTCCAAACCACGTGTGTCATGGTCTGCACAGTACGTGACATTGATAGCAGCCATTGTATCTTTCGAGCTCAGTAACTCAGGCATCAGAAGACCCAGCTCATTTTTTTTCAAATTCTAACTAGATTTGTAATACACCTGGTAAATATCTGCCCTTTCAGAAACACAATTTCACTTCTGCCAAAATAAGCATTAAGAATACTGCAGGTCAAGTGGTTTACTGTTGGTATGAGCAACAGCATAAGTAACCCATAATTTGAAACTAAAATGAATAAGTAGCTGCCATTGTATGACTTAAGACTCTAAACAAAACAGAAGGAAGTAAGGAAATCCAAGAAAAAACTTCCTGAAGACAAAAGAATGTTACTGCTGAGCTGCTTTTCTTGCTTTAGCTGTGACACTGAGGTGGGAGAGCAACTACAGAGGTGAGTGGATCCTCAGATAAAGGACTGGAAAATAAATCTGGATAGGAACAAAGAAGCCCTGAATCTCTGCATGAATGCTTTGAGCTTAAGGAGCTGAGTTTGAATGAAGTATACTACCTCCAGTTTCCCACATCTCCTGGGACAGCTGTTCAAAAGACTGGTAAGAACCTGTTAACAGAGTATGTAGAGTCAAATTTGCCACCGTATGTAGACAAATCTTTTAACTGAACAATGTGCACTGCACCGTTCTAGTCTGTTTTAAGATGTTTCTAAGTTGAATGGCTAAAAGCATCTGGGACAGGGATCAATGTCTAGAAAGCTAAGTTGAGCTCTGGCTTTTTCATGACTTTACATGTGTTTTGGGACAAATAATGATCTCCTGTGACACAATGATTGTTAATAATGTAACAGAAGAAGTAAAGTTTATGCTTTCCAAAGAGAAGTAGGAGCATTAGAGGCCTGCAGCTTACTTTACTCAGGAAAAGCTGAATTTTGGTTGATAGTGGAGACATTCAGTGAAGTGCATTTTTATTATAGGCTTCAATTCAGATCAAAATGTCAAAACACTATAGGGCAGTAATCTTTATTCTTAGCCACAGAGAGGAAATGTATATATTTGAAAAGCCTGTCCTTGTGAAATGTCTGCAGCACTTTTGCAGAGGCAAGAAATTTAAGTACCGAGTGCTTTGTCCTGCAAAGAGACTGCTGTTGAATAATAATTAGTCCTTGTAAGGTAAATAAATTCAACTCTTTCCCTGCATGCCAAATAAGGTCTTATGGCTTCAAGATGCTGGGATGTAGCTCAGGGTCTGAAAATATGCCATCCTAACATCTATAGTGTGGGGATGTCAGCAGTCCTGAAACTCTTGTGTTGCTCTGTCTCCAACATAGTTAGGCACAAAACTATGTCATATTGTTTCTGTTTGGAATTGTTATTTTATTAACAAATGCTCTGTCCCTTTGATGCCACAAAAACCCCCAACAACTACTACTTCTCCTGAAAACTGACATTACAAAACAAAGGAGAGGAAGGTTGATACCAAAATGAAACTCAGCAAAGCAACTGTATCAAAAAAAGGTGTTCTCAGTCTGATTGATAAAGACAACAGTGTCTCTATGTTCATCTTTCTTCCAAAATTTTGACTTAAATAATTTTTAATTAAGTCAAAACAAAAATATATATGAAGTACAGTTTATCGGTGTACAAATTTTACCCATCCTTACTGTCACTTGGCAACGTTTTCAGGTAATATAATTGATGTATTTGGTCAATCTGTGGATTTGGGGTTTGGAATTGTACTTGGAGAATAGGCAGTGGGTCCACTTGGGGAAGATAGGACATAGATTAAGTAAGGATGGCAGAACTGGCACCTTAAGGAGCCCTGCATTTTTATGTGGATTTCTTGGATCTACTATTACATTTCATAATAATTATTTTTCAATTACATTTTCTGCAACACCATTACAGTTGTATCTCGCTTTAGTCTGATTGTGAAACAAGAAAGGAATCTCACTCTTTTGTGGTCTGTTCTGCTTGCTTTACCTCTTGCAACTACATTGAAATCACAAAGTCTCATACTGTGAGGTAAACATAATTGTCCTGTAAAGCTTGGTTATAATACTTAAGTATTAAATAATAGCGCTTAGCACTTATGCAACTTAATGCCCTATAATCTTCAAAGCACTTTACAAATCTTAACTAGTTAATCCCCATAGCAGCTCTGCATGGTAGGTTATGAAGGCCACACATTAAAAATCTCCCACAATATGAGCTTGCTTTGCATATTAAGCCTGCGTGAAAATATATCCGCACAGTTATGTCCCTGAAGTCATGAGTGTTTAATTTTACTGACTGTAACATGCCTTACTTTCAGTAACTTAGTTCTGCTTTCTTATCCCATTCAAGGGAAATCCATTACAACTACAGTATGGCTCAGCATGCGGTATTATCACAATTTTGAGGATACTTTTTATTATTAAAACTCCTAGAAGGAAATAAGAAGTAGAGCATCTGATTTTTTTTTAAAGAAATCAAGTTTCTAGTGCCAATGATTGCAAAGAAGAAAGTGTATGGAAAAGGGTCAGAAAGTCTTTAATGACTGAGGTGCTCAGTAGTAACTACCATTTTTAGCCATTGTTTCAAAAATGTGAATTTTGTGATATTAAGATTGATTGGCAAACAAAATATACTTATCTGAATTTGACTGGGGAGCTTAGGCCTTCAGAGACCCACTTCATTTAGAAAATAGTAGGTTTTTCTAGCTCAAATTTTCTTTTAATTTTCATGTTCCAGGGGAAAAAAAAAAAAAAAAAAAAAAAAAGAGACTCTTGAATAGTTATTGCTTTAGCCCGTTTCAGGTCTAAAATTTCCCATGAAGTGGAAAAACTTCTTTTAGCCCACTGTAATAATGCTAACTTACTGATAATGTCACAAACACCACTGGTTCCAATTTTTGTTAGTTCTGCTGGAAAGCTTTTTAAAACACCATTACAGTTTGAAGGTAAGATTCCAATTCTATGTGAAGACCAAATTCACCAAAGATGTAAGTAATTAGCTGATTATTACATCTCAAGCACATCCATAGATAATAAGCCTCTGAAAAGTATTTATTCTTTGTACTACCTAGTGTAGAAAGGAAACAATGACTTTGACTGGTGAGGCCTTCTTTCAAGAGAAGCAAATAGAAAGTAGAGTTTTTGTCCCAAATTAAAAAAAAAACAAAACAATCAATTTTCCAGAATGTCTACTGAGACAGTCAGCATTATTTATACATACAGTATGATTCTTCCCCTCCAAGACATCAGGCAACTTAATGCCTTCCTTTTGTTGTCATCTACAACTGTCTCTCACTGTAAAGTTTGTAGTCCGAGAGCTGATCTTTTGTAAGAAGGAAGCTCTATGATATGATGAAGACTGACCTCAATTCCTTATTTCCCTTCTGCTTCAATCTGGAAACTTTTGTTTCCTTGGCTTTTACTCTCTTTCTTCCTGTCTTTGTTTTCCTTCCTTTTCATTTTTTTTTTTCCACCTTTGGAGGAAAATAACAAATAACTTTTGAGGAATAATTAGCAATCTCTGTGACCCTATGGTAAAAATCTTTACCTGATTCACTACAGAAGTGGTTATCTAAGGGTAAGGGTTTCAGACCAGGGAAAAGAGAAATTTCCACATGAGGGATGATAAGGGATGAACAGAAAAGAGACCCTAGAAAGTAAAGGAATAAATGGATGAGAATACAAAAGGAGACATAATTAGCAAGTCTCACATGCTTGCCACTATGTAATTTCGGATGTTTCAAATGGAGCCTGGTTCTGCAGACAGGCTCATAATTAAGTACAGGGTTGCAAGGCACATGCACAAGAGGTCTGAATTAAGGTTTCATGGGTAGCCTTCTGGCTTTCCCAACATTTGGTCACTTAATTTAGAGACCTAAATCCTTTTTAATATAGAAAAATTGATTTTGATGAGGTCTTTTAATTGTTTAGGGAGGAGGTGTTGTTAAGGACTGCAATTTATTATGTAATTGTAGATGCATAGTACTTCAAAGGAAAAAGTATTCTATTTTCAGTCTGCCTAAATTTGTATACCATGCTGAGACCTTAATACCTGTGGGATTTTTGCCTAAAGTGCATTAAGCTACATGACTAGCATCTACTTCAAATGCATCAGAAGCAGGAAGTCTGGCCAAGAATATATAGGACCAGTAGATAATAATAATTTTAAAGAACATCCAGAAAAGATTAGGTTATAAGGGGAAAGAAAGGCTGCATGAATTCACTCCAGGGAGTTTCAAGAGCGTCTACAACAGAATCTTTTTCTAAAAAGGTTAAATTTGAGGCACTTGCTTCAAACTGAAGAGCTTTTAAAGGAAGTCAATAATTATGTAAACAAATAACATGGACCAGATGGTATTCACACTTGAGGAATTTTTAGGAAACAGGTAGGAAGTTACTGCAGGTGCTGAACTATGAACTGTTAAATGTAGCCTTTTACTGAAATGAGTTTGGTACCTGAAGGCACAGTAGGGCAACTTCGATGGCATCTTGCAAAAAAGGTATCTGAGAGAGTGTAGGAATGGCAGACCCTAATGTGTCTGTACCAGTCAGTTTAGCTGATGTTACATTACGTAATTACATTAGCAGACATATGTGAAAGTATGGAATAATAGGGACAAGGCGACACAATGTTTGTAAAGGAATCAGATCAGTCAAAACTTTTTGAAGGAGTTAAGAAGTTTAATTATGATTTAAGCCAACAGCCCTGACTGTTGAATACCTTAATAAAGAACACCAAGAGCTTCATTGTTACTACATGACTTTGATATATTTAATAGACTATTAGGTTCTTCAGTGTATTTTTCTCAGCTTGTTCTTACAGTCTTCCCATGTCACTATTGGTTTGTTTTGTGAGCTTTTTTTTTTGTTTTGTTTTGGTTTTTTGTTTGTTTGGGTTTTTTAAGTTCAGGTGGAATTGTCAAAATAAAAGCAATGCATGTTCCTGAGTCATTTTGGCAGTTTTGAAAATCCCATCAATACACAGACATGTTCCTATTATTTCCCCATAATCCTCTTCCAGCTACCTCCAAAACTGATTCGAGCAAAAGGCTACATGTAACAGTAAGTAGTTCAGTACCTTCAGTACTTTGTGAGATGCTGTGCTGAGTTCTCTGTCTGTCACACTGGCTTGGTTTTTTTTTTTTTCATCACATTCTTCTCTATCTGTAATCTCTTATACATAATTTATAGAGTCTTGGGACCGGACTATCTCTTTGGCTTGCGTTTATAGCACTAATAGTACCGGGGTCCTGGCACATGACTGTGTTTCTGTGTACTTGTCTAATAAACACCTATAAATATATGAAAGTATAGAAGCAATCTGCCATTTTTAGACTGCTTTAATTGGAGTCGGTGCTGGAGTAGGGGGAAAAAAAAAAATTATTCACCCTCAACACTCTCGGGATGGGAAGCCTTGCAGGCAGGACCTAGTTAGTCACAAAGGTTATCTTTGAGCTTAACCTTTAAATGAGGAAAGACTAATCCTCCTTGGCCGCTTTTCTCACCAGCGGAGACAGCACGGCTCCCATCAACCTCGGTTTAGGGGAGCTCGGGCACCCTTCTGTACGCCCCCACCTTTGCCAGAGCACCCCACTACCACCATCG